ATTAAAATGGGAATGCAAGCATTTACAGAAACGGAGCAGGGCACCATTTCAAATGAGAACGGGGAATACAAGGGCCAGAAGGGGAGCAATTAAAGTAGGCAGAGTTTTTTAGGTGAATTTGAAAACATTATTGCAAAAGTGAAATCACCCTGACCAAAGTTAAATAATATTCATCCGATAAAACCATACTATTTCACGATTATTTGTTTTCAAAACTCTGCAAGGTGTTCCATTTGATCACAAATACATGATCTTAAAATTACTCAAATAGTATCAATCAAACATCTATAAAACAATAAACTAGAAATCATTAAAACGGGAATTTAATGGCACATTTTCAGAACGAGAGCAGGGAATGCAAGGGCCAGAAGGTGAACATGTGAGATTTCCACCATTTGGCGTCTCTTTAAAACCCATCAGAGTTCTCCAACCCAGATACTGATAAATTTTCGACATCAACCGATCAGGATGTGAGCCACACACATTCTGATAACTCTCCTCAGAACTTGGCACTTTCCCGAAGCCGAAAGATCCCAAAATTTCCTCCACTACCATGTGGCATTTGCCCATGAAACTCACATTCACCTGAATCAAATCATTCTCCAAAAAACCCAACTTCTCCGAGTCCATCAGTAAATCATTTGTAAAATCGAGTCTGTCGGCCGGATCCAAGTAATTTACAAGCTCCCCCTTGGACGTAATGGTCACCCACAAAAATGGTGATCTAATTACTTCATAGGACCCATTTTTCGAAGGCGAGATTATTGACCCAGTAATATAAAACGGACCCCTCTCACCAACACACTCCAAAATTTGGCATTCAGGTGGAATTTACCCTACCACCTCTAGATCCATTCCGCTCTCTCAACGAGAGATTGATGAAGAGGAACCAGAAAGAGGATGAAGGAACCAAGATTTCTACCTGTGTATTTTCTGTTGAAAGAACATAAAATGAAAGAGGAAATAGAAATGGCGTTTCCCGTGTTTTGGCCATTTTCGCGTGTCAAAATGTGATTTTTCACGTTTTGCGTTTTCTTTACAATTTTTTTTTTTCAAAAATTCGTTTTCGAAAATAAATAAAAAAAGAACGCGTTCTTGACGTTTTGAAAAATCAAAAATAGAAAATAACTTGAAACCGATAAAGACAACATGGCCTTAATTTTTTCCAAACAAATTCTCTGTTGGCAGTGAAACGGACCCCAATAATAATAAATTATAGAGGAAACGAAAATAGTAAAAGCGTGGCCGGGTAAAAAAAGTCAAACCGATCAAAAGGCATTAAAACTCGGCGTGGACTGACCTCCATTGACCAAAGACATTTATTGAAGCCAGCTGTAAATTGCTAGGTGGCATCTTGTCGTCCAGGGAACGCTAATATTTCCCAACTATAAGTCGGACCCGCCTAGCTTGGCACGAGTTAATGGGCAACCAGACAAAGCCAGGCGGAGCTTTGATAGATTGTCATTGGATTGCAGCCATCACCTGCTACCACCACTGCATCTGTAAATAAGATGGACAAAAAATTTTATACGAGTAGATATATCCCAAGTGATAAACCGTTGATTTGGCTAATTTATAGGTATGCCACGTGACAAAATTATGAGCCCAATGCTTTCGTCATCATGACGTTTTAAGTAAAATCAATAGTTTGAACTTTGAATTAGTGATTCTTTCTACTAATTCATGAACCACTATGAGAAATTTTGTGAAATATTCCGAAGTCAAAATAGGGGAATTCTATTGATGTAGACTCTATTTAAGTGTGGCGACGTGGGGGCGGAAAGAAAGAAAACGAGGGACAAAATTTTTCTCGCTTTTTTATATAGCGAGCTCTCATTTGGAGGTTAACATGACGGACTATTCGCTCAGTGGTAGAGCGTGCAATTGATAAGTGCATCGTTACGCCTAAGAAGTGAGGACTACTTCCTGTGAAAATAGGAAATGAAGAAATTCAAATGAATCAGATTACATTTGTACATAGAAAGGTAAATTTTTATCTTTAGTGCAAAATTTCAATTGATGTCAATTTAATCAACCGACTAGTATTTTTGCTTCATTTCGATAACCCAATTTATATTTATAATTAAATTTATAAAAAATTGACAAAATTCGTGAAATTCGTGGGATTTATACTTGTGGGAGAAGTTGTGCAGATTATGAATTCAATTACAATATATACGTAATGATCAAATTGAAATGGAATATAAATTAATACATCAAAAAATAAATAAATAACAATAACATTTACGGACATGGAAATGAGTTGTGCCCATAAATTTTACCCATGCATGACTTCGAATACGAATGGACAAGAATGACATAAACACTTCAATATTTGAAAAATGAAAAAGAAGAAACTTTGTAAGGGATTGAAAAAGATTGATTTTCTATAATTGATGTTGATTTTGTATTAGTTTGAATTTTGAAAATTTCAACGTTTCTCAACTTGGTGCGAAAGGCTTGTATTAAGCATTTATTAAAATAAGATACTTACAAGTTAAACCAAATATGTTGATAACTCAGACGTCGAGTGTTGATTGAATCACATAAGCGTGTTCCGGCAAGAGAAACAAGACAAATACGCACACACTAAGGGCGTTTTAACGTAAAACACTCAAGAAAAATTTATGGCTTTGCGAATTCTCTAGTAATTTGCAGTGGTGTCCTCAACTGAAATTTTAATGAATTTTAAAAGTCATTCTAAATTAAGGTGTTCTCCGTTAAGATTTTAACAAATTTTATTTCCACAAAATCCATAAGAATCATGTTAAAAATGGTAAAATTTCAAATTCACGAAATTTATTAGAATTATATTCGTCTGAAATCTATTAAAATCTCAATTGAGGACACGCTTTTACCTTACCATTGATGCAGGTATTGAAGCTATTACTTTGGAACTGGAGTAACTTACCTTGCCTGTTAATGAATAAAGAAATTATACCACAATAAACCAAATCCTTTATTTACAGAAATATACTGAATGCAACTAAAAGTGAACAATTAAGGGATAGACTTCATATGTGCATTTGTTGTTGTAAGTGTAATATTTACACTCATTAGGCCGTCAAATGTTTGACGTTTGGGGAGTAAATTTGTGAAATTGATACTTAATTTGCGTGTATATCGCTTATTTTAGGAGAAAGTCGACTAAACTCCTCTGCAAACACAGCTATAAACAGGGCATGAAATCCTTTACTATTTCAGTTGCATTCATTTAAGTTCACTCTTGTTCAATTAACAATGGGAGTGGGGTTTACTTCATTATTAACCGTAAAACTAGGTGCAGCCCAATCATTCAAAACATTAAGTCAGATACGCTCATCTAAGGCTTTAAAGAATGCTCTCATTTGAACCTTCCAGTATCCAATGTTGCTTCAGTCAAAAAACAAAAGCACGGATAATGACTGACTCATCTAGATTAATTTATGGGTTAGGAATCGAAATGTGGCTCTAATACCAATTGAAAAAATTGCGAGGTTCCACCCAAATTGCATCTAGAGAGGGGGTGGATGGGTGATTATGCGGAATTAAAAAACTAATAATTAAATAGCAACGAGTCACTTTTAATTATCTCTAGATGGTTAATCAATCAATTCAATTTCCCTATATTGAATTGCCATAGTTATATGAAAACGGTCAATAACGCACATAATGATCATGGAGAAACCACAATTGGGTAAAAACTTTGGACACTTTGCCAGTAAAAAAATTCACTATAAACTAATTTAAACTTACAGTTCGTTAGACACGACTACCCTAGTATTTTCTGACCTCCTGATTGTAATTTCTATAGGCCTCCCAGATTGCGTGCCCCTGCACCAACTCCCGGCTTCAATTTTCAAAATCCTCTTGGATTGCGTGCTCATGCACCAACTCCCGACATTATGAATTCATCTATCTCATATGGATTGACGAAGAACTCTGCGTTATCCAACAATAACTGGAACTCCAGTCACATTCTCTTAATTTTCAGAACTCTGGCAGATGTTTAGGAAGTAAGCAGTTTGGTATTTGGATTAAAAGGATTTGAAGTTTTCACCGCCAAGAATAAATCACACTACGAATGTTGAAGGCTATAGATGAATTTGATGAAGAAGATATGGGGTAATATGAGTTCTCTCAATATTCAACCTTAGAAAAAATCGTTCAGAGACATGTTGGTATTTATATTATAGGTTTATGGTCGAATGAGTCGGACAAAAAGCCTTTAAAACACGAATTAAAACTTTTCGGATATCACTGTCGCTCGAGCGAGAGTTTAACGATAGGTTGTTGCTCGAGTGAGGGCAAAGCGACAGGAGAGCGATGAAGTTTTTGTTTCTACCGCTCTAGACATGGCGATGAGCTAGCGAAATTGTTGTTCTCCTATTTTCATACTCGAACCCTAGAATATATATACAACTCAATTTATACAAATTACAACTTACACAAGAAAATTAAAAAAAATGGTGTGCATCATTTATTAACTATTGATTCTTGATTTTCATCAATTTATATAACAGAAAAGAACGAAGCTACATGATAATTAAATTTAAATATAATTATCCATTGGGAAAAATTAAATTATGATTATTTGATTAATAGTAAAATTAAAGTATAATTATTCATGTACAAAATTTATTCATGGACTAATATGTCAAACAGAGGTGGTCCTAAGAGTGCACGAGTTGATCACACAGAGCATCAGCATTGTAGGGACACCCAAAAAAAATTGTTATACTATAATTATATATTTAAAATGTTTTATTAATTTTAAAATAGTAAAATTCTATTATATGTTAAGTTAAAAGGCACATTACATATGAAATAAGAGTCAAAAAAAAGTGGAAAAATAATTATTCTTATTTAATAATATTGTATTTCTTATTCCTAATTGTGTATCATACCAAGGCATGTTTTTATTAGACCAAAGGAAATGATTCACAAGATTTGTTAGAACATATTGATTACGAAAGTTTAACTGATGAATTTATTCCTAGAAATGCAAGGAGAAATTTTTCATTGCATTTCAATACATATGGTATTTGTTATTTTTGATTTTAATGTTTGCTCATATAGAATTGCACGAAGAGGTTAGTGTCTTGAATGGTCTTTTTTTTAGGACATAAATTTTAGAGGAAATTACACAAAACCATACTTTAAGTTTTTAAACTTCCAAAATCAGATTGGAAGTTTAATATTTCCAAAATCAGATATTTTTATTTTAATTAATATTTTTATTAAATATATATACTCAAAACCCTAATTAATTCCCAAATCAACCTTACCTTCCTCCACTCCACCTCGTTTCCGGTTCCCCAAATCCCCGCCCATTTCTCTCCTCTCTCTCTATCCCCGCGGCCACCACACCACCACCATTGCCTGTCGGAGTGAAGCCGCACGCCTGACACCACCACCACCGCCAACACAAGTTGCTTGGGGGCGGCGAAGCGGCGCTACTATACTGTAACCACTCATTCTATCTCCCCCCTTTTACTCCGACGAACACCCGCTACCTTCCGCCTCCCTCTAAGTATCTCTGCCACTTGCGCCACCTCTTAGAGAACCTGTAGTTCGAAGATCAGCACCGAATATGCTCCGAAACAGGGGTCTCTATACAAAGTTTTGGGGATTCAAATGGGTGCTTTGTGTAAGATGGGTGACTGCTGCGAAGTTGTCGTCGATCTGAGGTGCTGCGAAGTCGTCGTCGATTTGTGGTATGTGTGCTGATTTGTGTGATTTCTGTGGTGGGTATGTGTGCTATGGGTGCGGTGGTGTTGACGGCGTGGTGGGTGTGTGGTGAGTTGATGGCGCTGTTGGTGGTGTCGACGTCG